ACCTTATCCACAGGCACTTTTTGAAGACGGGAACGACTATCGACTCATTCCAGGATGAAGGAACCTCCTCTTTTGACTAGACTTCTAAGAACAAAGCTGTGAGTTCTCCAATCAGCTAATAGCCACCATCTTTAAATATATCAGGAGGCAGACGATCAAGGCCGGGTGTCTTATAACGCTTCAGACAGAACACTTTCCGCCACATTTCCCGGTGAGAGGGAAGATCAGTGGGACAGTCTACACAGCACCATGGAATAGAGGATAATATAACGTACAAAGCATATAACAGAATTTGATAATAAATGAGAAAATGGAACAACAAATTTTTGTGGTTTTACACACGCCATTTCGTAATATTTTGCTGTTTTTAAGAGTTAATGTTTTCGTAAACGTGAAATCAGGCAGACTTGCGCGCACTGCTTCCACTGCGACTGGTATTTTCCCAACTGCTTCCAGCGTTGTGAGTCATTGACGTCCATCATCTTTGGGTCCCTAGCCGGGGGGTGAACGGGACTAACGATGCCCAGGCAAGATGTTAGCGATTTTATGCATTGTCGCCAGGTGGACGATTGACCTCCACGCGGCCTTTTCCAAAGTAACCCTACGTGCGCAAATAGAGGGCGGCGTGGTAAATGCTCGTTAGGCATGTACAGGAGGTGGCCAAACCATCTTACTTGACGCAGCCGGACGACATCACAAAGCAAACATCCGCCTTACACAAGGCGCTGTGTGTCTAACCTCATCAGTACACACTCGGTGTTGCCAACGCATGCGGGCAATCCTCCGCAAACAGCTACTGTCGAAGGTCAAAGATGACGCACGTCTTCCACACAGATGGAGCTGACGGTCAGGGAAACTACGAGAAAAAGGCTTCGGCCCACTGTCGTTGAAGATTAGTGATTAGGGAGCCATGATCTTCGCAGATTGTTTCGTTTACTCCTGATCGGAAGTCTTCCGTGACTCAGATGAGGTGGAACAGTTTTCCGGTATCGCTATAGATTAGCAAGTTCCATCTCTCCGGCAAGTTCACATCACCGACCTCATGATCCTGCTGTAAGCTCCTACGCAACGCTCAATCCAAAGATCGGTGTTCCTCATTAGAGATGGTGTCGTATAGGATCAAGCTACGTCTGGCTATCAGCGACAAGGGGGCAGTGGTGCTCAAGCTTTTCGGCGGGTGACAAGCAATTCCACAACTGACAGTACTGGCAGAAATTAAGGCGTCATTAATACGCATTCAATGTGAATTCAGACCATCGTCAGAGGATGAAGCAAGCAGTGTTGACAGAGAAGCCTGATACTTGGCTAACGTCGCAGGATGTTGCGGATTTTCGACCTTCGGTCGGTACTGCGCGCGTCTAGGTGGTCCTTCGAGACGCTTGCAAAGCTTGGCATAAATCAAGGCGTGATCAGCGTCCAGACCGGTTGGCTAGTACGATTGGTAGTCTATTACGCTCCCGCGCTATCTGTGGCTTTTTTCTACGTGGTCAAGCTAGGACCATTCTTGTGTTTGAGAAGGCGGACGCCAGATAACAGTCTGTCTTTTCGAATGACGAACACTTGTACTCGAAATAAACAAGCAATGATCAGAACAAAGAGTCAGTAGTCTGTCACAATTGTTTGATCGACTTTTACTGAGACCAAAACTACCCACAAGATGGTGTTCGCTTGGCAAACGGCCCAGTCGTGCGTTAAAATCTCCAGCACGAATGACCGTGACAGATTTTTTGTGGAACGCTACTGGTCATGTAGCTGTTAGGAAAAGCAATCCTTGACTGCATCCGTGCTGCAGTCTGTAGGAGCGTAGACGGAGATGACAAACGGGGCATTTATAACATCTCGGCACTCACTTAACTTACATGGATCTCGTAGTCTAACTGCATATAACCGACTGTTGACTGGGATCCAGTCAAGCAAAGCGACCTCAGCCCTGTCACTCAGTGCAACCCTAAAATCAGCTTGGCCAGAAACGGTAGCCTCTGGGTCTGCGGAAAGGCGCAAGTGGTATTTGACGACAGAGTTTGCCAGAGAGTTCGCTGTGATGGTTGTACTGGCGTTTAGCATCCTGGTTTCGGAAAGACAACAGTTGTCAACCGAAAGTGTCTCTAGGGTGATGGCCAGGCATGCTTGTTGTCCGATCTGCATCAGAGTGAGCACACTGAAGGCTGCAGAGCAGAATGGAGAACCAGCTTGAAGGAAAGCTTAAGCTTTGTTTTAGCATGAGAATGTTATGACTACCGGGCAACGAACACCGAATATGTGGCTCAGAACTCTGTCAGATGCGACCAGTGAGCTGTTTGTGTCTGTGACTGGGAAAGACAGTGCATCGAAAACGACGCGGGGATGGGGGGCAGAGCGTGTATCGCCAGAAGAACGTGCCACTGACACAAACATGTACAGATTTGGACTGTGTCACCTTTCCACGATGCAGCGCGGATGAAGATTTGTGTGACGGGCCATTCCAAGTGCCTACGAGGTTGGGCTTCCAGACAATCCTTCCCTCTTTCTAGCCCGTATCTCCCCTTCGCTACATCCGATTCTGGCCGGCTGTGAGTCATTCGAAAGCGCACGACTTGATCTCCCGTGGCTGTATCACTCAACCCCCGTTCACTCCTGTGGGCTTCGCCAGCGGCGTATTTGCCTGATTCATTGTGTTCTCGACAAACACCTCCATTGTTCTGGGCCCAGGCTGGTTACCAGATGCCGCCCGTTACCGGCTATCGGTTCAATCCGCAAAACTCGCAGATCCCTTTGTCCTCACATCCATTGCACCCATTGTTAATTCTCTACAATCCCGTTTTTGTTGTCGTTCCGGTTCGCGAGTAGTCACTGGCTTCCGTCGCACTAAAATAGGTGTATTTAATAAACGAGACGTGGAACGATCGTCGAACGGATGCTGAGCAACAGAGACAGTATAGCTAGTAGACATACCAATAGTAAATGTAGTAGTGTAATCTCTTCATGATTCGTCATGTGCGTGATACTACCCGGTTGCCGAGGCCGAAGTAGTGGCTTAGCTTAAGTGGCGCCACCCCGAGCCTCTGCTCCAGGATCTAACCCACAAGCCAGCATGGCGATATGAGGGTATCGCACCCCTTTGGGAACCGGTAACCAAACAAGTGCTTCATACGCCTTTAGATCGGTGAAGGACCAGGGGTACAACACACCTTTGCATTATAATGCCGCTCAGAGAGAGGCAAGGGGCGGTGACGTTATGTAGTGGCGTGTCACTTCCGCCAAGTCGCAGGGCTGTTAAATAGACGTATGTGGCTTTTTGTAGGGAGAAGGCTTGCCAGGCGAAAACGCAACACATCCTGCAACACTGCCGCCGAACCGTTCGCTGGAACGGGATAATCCCGAAGCACCCAGCTGGCACCACGAGGAGGTTGTTCGGCAAGTTGGCCAATTGGCTATGAATGATTATGCAATGCAACAGAGTAAGTCTTACGATGATTCTGAATGGCATACTTCGTGTTTCATGCAAGATGAAAATTCTAGTGTACCTGCTGGATAGCTATCTGATTTGTAATTTGGTCGAATACATGTGCGTGGAAATTAAAGGAATTAGGGTACCTAATTCCCCACTCCCGAACTGAATCCTAGTGCGATCGCTTTATCTACAAGAGCGACAGAACCTTCCGGGATGCGGCACCTGTGTCTAAGTATCTTGGATTTCTTTAAGGGAATTTCATTAGCATGCGTTCACTTGAATTACTTAAAGCAGATAGGTCCTCACGTATGTTTCCTAGACATAGTTGTATTTGGTCTGATAGAAATGAGTAGTTCAGTTTAGCGTCGTCTGCAAACCGGTAAAGCTACTGTCTCGGGTGGGGTCGCATTTGCTGTTTATAGATTTAGGAAAAGTGCTGGTCCAAACACACTTCCCTGAAACTGCTGCTTATCCGTTGCGGCGTCCATTCTCTCTCCTTGGGTTCGATCGTTTAAGTGGGAGTCCAACCAGCTTAGCAAGGAGTCCACAAAATGATTCTACTTGTGTGACACAGTAGAGCGCATTTTGCATCTTCAGAAGAGTTATGATGACAGCCATGGACAACAAATTGTGGCTAGAATGTGAAGCAGTATCGCCTTGAAAAAATATCATGCCGTAAGTCGGTATTACGTACCGGTGAACTGCTTGCGCATTTTGCGATATATATATATATATATATATATATATATATATCGATTAACATGGAAATCGACGCGTGACACATAGATATGTCACATAAAAGAAATTGAACACCTGATTGCCTTTCTACACACCATGTTTCCTTTCTTGTCATTTTTAATGGTTGAACATTAAACACATGTTCAAACATTTATGTACAGATTTCGGTTACGCGTCATATCACGAATGGTTTCGAGTCATCGGCATTCCTCGTCTTTGTTTCCTCAACCAGGAAGGTAGTTAACTACTGGAATAAACTCCCTTCTGATTTAGTGGAGTCTGAGACCATGGAAGCCTTCAAAAGGGGCTTAGACAATTGTTGGTCTATCCTTTTTCCAGAGATATTGTAGTTGTACTTTAATATGTAGTGTATTTTGATGCTGGCATATGAAAGTGCAGAGATTGCTCTTGTTCTTGCTTCATTCCATAGCAGAAGCAAGAAGAGACAATCCAACGTCGAAGTGCCGGGGGTCGCTTCACTTACCGACACAAGAACTGGACGCTCGTTAGGCGGAAGCCTCTATCGTCCATCTGACCTGACCTGACCTGACCTGACCTGCATAGAACGTCAGCTGGCGATCGAACAAGTAGTGAACCAACATTTCCATGTAGTAATCTCTGGTTATCTGATACCAGTGATCGGCTCCCAGGGAACACTTTGATGCTTTTTACTTAGGCTAAGCAATTTAAATGGCTTTCTACTAGTTGTGTGAAGGTGGAGTATTCCTTCATCCCTTTAATGGCAACACGCCAGGACTGGGCACAGTTTAGGGCCTGCATACACCCAAAAGGTGACCGCCAAGTACTGATTCCACTGTATCGATCCTTTTCTATTGATCCGTGTTAGGCGGCTGCGGTGTTTTAAACATTGCGCCGATAGTTGTACCAACATACTGAACCGCCACCCTTTGGCTGTCTTGAGGTAAGATCTGATTTACTTCACATGGGAGGATCAAATGTCATCTAAAATAACATTTACAAGTAAATTACCTTAGGTTTGAGGTACTTCGTTGCGTTATGGGGACTAAAGTGCACTGTAACTGCGTGGTAGCATGCCGCTTGTATCAGAGCAAATAGGCGCTTGTATCGCGACAATCGCCCTTGTGAACCCCTTTTTTATGTACTAAATAGATTTGCAGTTAGAGAGCTTTGTTGATTTAGTGAATACATGACCATTCAATATGCTGCGACTCATTTTTGGAAGCTGGAGCCTCAAGTGTAAGTGGTTAAAACCAAGCTTGTTTCCATCCAGGTGCGATGAGATGAATTTTGCAACACCCAGTTGTCAATAGGGGACAGATTTGTTCTCCGATTTATCCTGACCCCGTGGAGGTGGATCTAAGGAATGAACTGCAGTACTGATTAAAGCGCGTGTTGATACAAAACATGAGCATGCAGTAAATGGTTCGCTTCTTGCGCGGCTAGCATACACATTATTATCATTATTGTCTTTAGCATGTGAGGGTCGATGTTGCGCCGGCATTCGAGTAAGTAACTGTAACTTCCAATCTAATCGCTCAAGGGTTCCATGGCCCACCTATAAAAAGACGGAAAATCGGTACACTGCTTCTTCAAACGTCGCAGCGACTCAGGTAAGGTCAAGATCCAAGGACGACACTGACTTCTGCCTAACGAGCGTCCTGCTTCTGGTACCGGTAAGCGAACCAGAGCCACCGGCACTTCGACGTTTGATCGCCTGTCCTTGCTCCTGCAAAAATGAATTAAGAATGAGAGCAATCTTTGCAATTTCATGGAGCAACATCAAATATCACTGCACGAGGTCATACTGCTACATTTCGATAAAATTACATTAGTTCTGGAAAGTTGCTCAACACTTATCTAGACTTTTTTGGATGCTGCCATAGTGTTGCAGTGCACTAGCGCAGAAGGGAACTTAATTCAGCTGTGTACCAGAAGATTCTTGAAAAACTTCGCCCTGGTCTAATCTAGCTCTGTTGCATGATCTTCAAACGATGTCCTAGCAAATGATCGAAAGCAGCCAGCTCAAACAAATCAGTACGCTTGATGCCCCTGAGGCCCTTCATTATCTTAAACCTCTCTATCAGATCGCCTCCCAGTCTACGTCGCTCCAGGGAAAATTACTCCAAGCTAAATCTAACTGCAGAGGTTTGGATTAGGCATCGAATACTTCTCAAAATTCTCAACTTTCTGCAGTTTGTCCGTGGCTTCCACTTTTTTTACTTCTATTGCAAGGCGACCATGTTTTACAACACTTCGCTAGTGGCATCCTGAATGATTCTAAGTGATTGTAAATAACCCTTATTCTCCTTCCGCAAGCTTTACAAGCTCACGAACTTCAGTTACAAGCCAACAGTTGATACGAGAAAAAGATGAGACAGGCTACCTACCTGTGTTTTTCGTCCACATACTATCCTTTCACCATCTTCGCGGTTGCCATTTCTTGTCTCATCAATACTCTCAAACTTATAGCCTCAAACTGCATGATGTCAAACGCGTCCACGGTTTGTTCTTGCAGTTCAAATTATCTAAAATCCCTGAACGTGCTACTGGCCTAGTGTGGCCTTGATTGTGATGGCTGAAACCAGTCCGGGATATGCGGATCTTGGTCCAGAGCTGCCGGCTGTTGAGGAATTCATTCGTGGTAAGGCCCTACTGCAGAGTATGCACGGTGGGGGGCCTGGATTACACGACGAAAGCCGCAGTAGTGACCCCAGAACAGGCAACCTGTACGAACATCTGGTCTCTCTATTAAAACTGATTTTGGAAAAACAACCAACACACGCGCTCGATCAGTTTGAGGAGCTGAGTCGCCAGGTGAAAAGAGAGAAAGGTGGGGGTGCTGGCGGATCTGGAGCGGGTGCGGGGCTTGTGAAGGAGGATATAGAGGCCACAGCCCCAGCAGACAGGGAAGAAAGTCTTGATTATCTGCATGCCAAAGTGGAAAGGACGTTGTTGCATGTAAGTTGAGCTTAAAAAACAAAATTTTTGATGCAAATGTAACATTTCATTGCTAAGTTGTAGAGATGCGATCGCGCCGTTACTGGATAGATGTGCGTATCACAATGCTGTTTGGAACTAACTTATATATGTACTAACCTGTTGAACGGATATAAGAGGTTGCGACGCCCGCGTGGTCAGTAATGTGTATATGTTATCACACGTTCTAATCCATACCCATACTAATCGTTTTCCGCGCTGGCAAATGCCACTCCTTATGCCAGCCCCAACCTCATCACTGTTTGTTTTTGTTCTCCAAAAATGGACCGAAATCGTTCGATTCTGAAAAACTAAGTTTAGGCAGAAAAATGGATACTTTAATTGTCAGTCAAACAGTGGGCAACGACTTGTAGTCCAGTTTGTGTCCCATGCTTAACAAGCGTATGATGATTGCTGTGGTATCCGTGTGCTTGACTTACTCCGTCCTTGGGTCGAATTCAGTCTAACTTAACTTCAGTACACATAGTTCGTTCATGGATCCAATTTCTCTCGCCCGAGAAATAAGAAGGGCATTTTTACGTTTCCTTTGCGAAGTCAATGTCAGGCACCATAAGCCTGTACCAACCAAGACCACCTGACCACGGCATGTATAATTACTTTTAGCCTTAGTAGTAACTTAAATTTGAACTTAACTCTGAGGGGGAAGCTGGAGAAGGAAGAGTCAAATAGCGGCGTGTTTAAGCGTGATTACGTTAATTCCGTTTCACTATATGATGAGTGTACCTGCCCCACTTCATTCTTCCATTCAAGTAATACGTTACGCGTGTGCCAGCGCACAGCTATTGCGTAGTAACTTGCTCCCCTACCCATAACCATCGTCACCAGCAGCACATCAGCCATTTGAACTGATGCTTCGCTGCCGTACAACTACGGTGACTTACGGAACGAAGAATAATAAGAAGGAGAGAAGCGTGATCTACCCTAAGGCCCTAATATCCTAAGCCAACATTCAGGGTCATGGTGCCTACACCATGTCAACAACATACCGTCACAAACAACTGGCTAGCGTGTAAAGATAAGGTGGCATCAACGAGATAGCCTACTTGCAACCTTCACTGTCCCGCATCATAATCAAGCATAAGTCAGTACCAAGCACACGTTAAAAAGGCAGTTCGACTACGAGACGGCAGCAGACTTGCCAGTGGTGCCGACTGCGAGCCATGTTTTCTAAAGTCTCGAGCCGAGCGCAAGGCGGGTACCTGGAATGCGTAACGGGTCAACGTCACCCCGGTTTGTAGTCCGTGACTTCATTTCCCGCTGCCAACTCAACCTTAGCCAACCTCCTGTCTTGTGCTACTTTACATCTGGCAGATAGAACTGGGCCCTCCTAAGTAAGCGGTGACCGGTCATAAGTAGTACGTGCCTCAGCCAACGCAGCTTATTCAATGCTATCTGTTATCCTAAGGAACTATCTTGGGTATCATTACCTAACACTCGGCTACACACATCATGGTTGCGGACACGCTGGTGACACTCGACACTGGAAATGCTCCGAAGACAGCGATGGTCAAAGACTTGAAAATGTCGCAGATCGAAAAGTCCAAGTTTTACTACAATGGACTATGGCGTCCGTCAGTGTGGCCTTGTAAACACGACTTTTCAGACCGAGGAAAACCCCTTTCTAACCTCAGAGATGGCTCAGATTCAAGAATACAGTTCTAGGTTTATGGGCCCATCTTTGCTGAAGCAGCTACCAAGCTAAGTGAATTGACCAAATACTTCGAGTTCCTCGTTATCAACGGGCAAGGGGTTATCAAATGGCTGGTGGTTTTGTAACAAGACCTTGCGCTTTGAAGGTAGGAAGCGCAAGCTAAGTTATGGGACCACACTTACAAGAATGTTCTGGGTTGACTGGGAAGCATCAACATCGTTAAACTGCAAGACGATTTCGTTCGCCTAATCAACTTGCTTTTCAGAAGGCAACACCGCAACGCCTGCAGTGTGGGATTCCGCAAGGGAAGACACTATGCAAAAGTTAAACAAAAATCACAAAACTGGGCAAACCTGACGAGTACCACTCCTTGTCATGACGGTTTCTGATAAGTCATCATCTACTCTGACGCACCCTGTGGTGTTCCAGTACAAGGTACGTAACATGTGAACTTATTTCATGGGAACATCTTTCCGCGCAAGTATTTCAAACTGAATGCATCGCTCGACTGAATCGAATGCACTCTTGAAGTCGAAGAACACAGCTATTGTCGGTCCTCGGTATGCATGGCGCTGTTCCAACGTTTACCGCAGAACGAATAAATGGTCTATACAGACATATCCAGTGCGGAAATCTGCCTGCTCTTCTCTCTCCGAGATTCCCATTACGCAGTGAGGCGACGAAGGAGAATTGAGGCCAGTAATTTTGTCACCACAGGCGTCAGTAATACCACTGTGGTTAGCGCGGTCCGTGCGACTGCCATTATTGTATACAGCCACTTTAACCGATTAACTCCGTTTAGCTTGGATAGTCTCTTCCTTGCAGACATGTTCGAACAGGGAGTTCTGTGCTTTGCAGAGGACCTCAATACCATCCTTAAATAGGGCACCTGCGAGGGAATCCGGTCCACCAGCCCGAACACAATTAAGTACTGTGGTCGCGTTTCGGACTTTAACTTCTGATGAAGGTTCTAAACTAACCAAACAAAGCCCATACGGCATCACATGTGCAAGCAGTGGTCCGGGAGCAGGGGTCAACCGTACTGTCCTCGAAAGTGCTCCGCCTAATGACATCATTATGAATCAGGGCACCCACGCTGTCTCTGATTGTCTCACTCACCCTGGCTCTCTTAGGACGAGTGGTGGGGATCAGATGGTAAAGCTTGTGATAACTGTCTACTTCTCCCGTCTCCGCCATCTACTGAGCCCTACTGCTCTATCATACTTCCTTGCCAACACGCAGCATCCGCTTTAGTTCGCTCCTAATAATCTGTCTAGTTGCACTGTGCTCGGATCCACCCGTGAGTTTTCCTTTGGGCTCCAGCAGGTACCCCAACCCCTCAAGCATCCACTGACTGATACGGTGGCGATTGATAGTGCCGCAAGCAGGGGCTCCCGCATCGTATACAGCGGCCCAGATCCTATTCCACTGAAGCCCATTGTCATTCGGATAAGAGTGCATGGTCGGTAAGCAGTGCATTCTGGTAGGTTTATCTGACCGGGAACCAGCTACCAATAGATGGAGGTGTTTGGTACTCCCGGTAAACTTAATAGAAAGACGACATCCTACTAAGGCTTGATCAGTGTCCATGTAAGAATTCTAGGGCAAGCGATATTTCAGGATAGAACCACAGTACCTGTGATTTACTGCAACCTGATCTATCTGTGTCTACCACTGGCCAGCTATAAGGGTTACGAAACAGCACTTCGGCGCCCAGTGTGTCTAAAAGCGGTGTTATTAAAAACAGCCGGTGCTCCGCATAGTTGCAACGGACGCTGGCCATTGTCCATAGAATGGGAGCCAAGTCCATACTTACCACCTAGCCGAGCTCCTGAAGAGCCCAGTTGACATAACTGGGCATTCATATCTACTGCAACAACTACGAGATCTGAACTGATAACACTGCATAGCAGCGTGTTCGTTTCTTGATACGTGTCCTAGACAGTATCCGAAATTTAGTCGATAGGGCATAAGCGGAAACCACAAACGAACGGTGGATAGTGTTATTTCATGAATCAACTCTAATTGACCTTTTAGCAGAGAAGTTGACACAAGACCGCTGCACGATTTAAGTCAGTAAAATTTATCTGTATATTTTCTAATGCGTACTACAGACGCGTGAATTTATAGCATCATGAAATGTGGAAGTTGAAATTACAAATTGACCAGTGTGCACACGCACACACACCTTGGGATCTGTACCCGGCCCGCCACCACGGCAGAGCCAGGGTCACAAATGCGTCTTTCTGCACACACAGTTGGGCCAAGTTGTTTGATGGTCACGACCTGAGCAGATTGCAAAGTTACGGGGTTCACTGAGGTACAGGTAACAAGATGGTTGTCAGCCAGCAGATGGCAGGCGATTAATGACGCTGGCTGTTGGCATGGAACTTCATTTCGCTTCATCGGTCGCGTATTCGGAGTGGCGGAGGCGGTCATCTGCGAAATGTGTTTACTGACTCACACCGGTCAAGGCTCCACGACCCTCACCCTGGTTCTGTCGAGCCCACGTATTCGACCTTGAGAGTACATGTAAATTGGTATAGGATGGGTGAACGGCTTCAAAATGACAGCGCGGTTTAACCGACGGAGTAGGGGTACGATGCGCTGTGTTGATAAGTACTGGTTCCGCCGCAGGGTACACGCGTGTAACTGCGGATTTCAATCGGCGTTAAAAGAAACCTGGCATTCGTCGTCGCCCTTGAATTGCAGTTGCAGAGTTACCTTCACCTTGGGTACCGTGGGCATACATTTTTTCGCTTTCTCAGCACTAAACTGAGCGATGAAAGACGGTGGGTACCCATTATCTACGAGGGCGTTGTTTCACAGCCGCAACTCTTGTTCCATGACGGCAGCAGTGCATATTTTTCCAGCGCTGTTGAGCAGAGACTTCGCAAGATCTTGTTTGTAACGCTTCGAGGTTAAGAAATTCAAATATCGTCCCTTGCACGTTGCCTTGTAATGAAGTGTGTATTGTGCCATCTGCGCTCTATTAGGATGTCAAGGAATGGGAGGGTATCTTGTTGTTCGCGTTATGCTGTCGCTCTGATGTTTGGATGCTGGTTAGTCAACTTGGTAACCAGTTGGGTTAACTGGTCATTGTTGGCACAGAGTAACAGAATGTCATCTACGTATCGACGAAACAACACTGTCTTTTTGATCGCCTCCCTGACTTGTTTCTCAAGATGGGCTGCGAAATGATGTAAGAATACCAGTCTGAGTGGAATCCCCATTGCGACACCATAAAACTGGCGATAGCGTTGTTCGCAAAAATTGGACTTGGTATTTGATGTACATAAAAACGAAGTAG